ATTTTACTAATTTTTGACCGACTTTGAATCAAGACCCCTGGACCATAAAGGGAATTCATTTATATTTTAAATTGCATTGTCATCGTGATTGGAACTATGCTGAAAATTTCAAGTCTCTAACTTGTCGGGAAGTTAGTTTCAAATCGATTGGAAATTTCCACGATTTGCGCGGGATGACCAAGTTAAATAAAAGCTTATAAAAATACATACAGTGGTGAAAAAATTATAGCCGAACCACTTTTTTCCAGGTTTTAAAGTATTATTTTCGTTGCTATTAAATTTCGGTTATTTTTTTTTTATAAAAATATAGTTAATTCTTTAATAAAACCCGTGTAAATCAAGGTTCCAAATTTGTGCAGTATTAAGAAAAAATCAAAAAACTTTCGTACAAATATCGAGCTATTTAAAAATTCTAAAAAATCAATCCTAATTTTTAGCCATTTGAAACTTGTACTTTATTCTACTAGAATTCAATGGGCTACAAAACTACACACCCATAATCTAATTAAAAAACTCCTAATTTTTACGAAAATTTGTTGACTTTTTTATTAATTGTATGAATTTCTAAGACAGAGACACTTGATTGGTACATTTGTACAGATTTCTTCATTTTTATATTGCTCTATTGGTACAAAATAAAAAAATGGGAAATTTTTTTTGTGGTCAAAATATTGGTACAATTGTTCTATTGAAAAATTTCAACGAATTAATTTTCGTGATTGGGATAACGAAAAATATTTGGGTATTCACACTAGAGCTGGAGAAACATCGATGCATCGATGTTTTTATATAAGCTACTAACATCAATTTTTTTTCTCAACATCGATGTTTTTGCGAGTGGCAAACCTATATTTATTTGGCGCGTAAAAATGTAAAAGGTAAAAAACTTTCGTTTTTTCCGGCGGGATTACTAAACCTAGTATATTTTAAGACTTGTACCAAAATATTTCGGAGAAATATTAAGATTTACGTGAGCTGGACCGGTTTGAAAATACCTCTAAAAATAATGTTTTTTTATGAATAAAAATAGTTTCTTAAAGGATTTTTTAGAAAAAATCCCCTCAAATGGCAAAACAGTTTAAGCTTAAAAAATCTACATAAAAATCTATATAAAAATAATAAGATTTTTGATGCTATTTTTTAACCTTTTTCAGAGATTTTTGTAAGAAAAACTTGAATAACTGCTGCAAAACTTTACCGATATAGACTTGTGACGTATAAGTGGAAAGGTATTTTCTCACCCTTTTTATTTATTTGCAAAAAAACTCATTCACGACCCAATTTTTTCCTTATCAAATACCATTACTACTTAAATCAACATGGAATGACACTCGTTTATTTGACCTTCCTCTTTCATATTTTGAATGAGCTTATTCGCAAAGAAATTAAAAGCGTGAGAAAATACCTTACTAATGATACCTCATAAGTCAGTAAGTGATGCAGTCTACTATACATAAGTTGACTATGATTAATTTAAATTAAAAATTTAAAATTTTCAGGCAATAGCCTCATGGGATTATCTATTATATGTTTTGTTGTTTGTGTGAAATATTTTATTTTTATCGGTATTTTTATTTTAATCAAAATATGTTTAAATAAAAGTAAAAAAAAAATTCCAGATTTCAGTGATTTATCCTAATTACATTGCTTTCAAATTACGGGACTCTTAAATTAACTCGGGAATGTTTTTACCCTTCACTTATTTCTTGCTAAATATGTCAAATTTTTCTTTTAACTGATATCCATACATACACATTTACACATATCATTTACCTTATTCCCTTAATTTACGTCAATTTGATTTTTTAAACATGTGGCAACCCTTCTACTTGTCGTTTAGAAGTAAAGCAGTTTGAAAACTATTTCAATTGATACCTATATTGTAATATCTAATTAATTTAACTTATCAAATAATTTTAATAAAATTTGTAACAGGTGGCAACCCGTTTCAAAAAAATAAAACTATTTCACATCTACAGGCCAAGCCCTGTCATTGGACATCTCACTTTTGAAAATAGAACAAACTATATGTACATACCTATGTATGTAAATGCCACAAGAACCCAAATTTTCAACTCCAAACTGCATTTAAATCCGACCATAAATTTATTTTTGCCCACATTTTATATGGAAGGGAAGCACTGTGGAGCGGGCCTAATTAACGAGGAACGTTATTTGTTTCATACTTCAATTACATATCGACTGCCGAGTGGAAGATCGACCTATCTCGGCAGCCAGTTCGAAAATGCCCTATCTCAGAAAACTTTTTAAGACCGGCCTATTTCAGAATTTGGTTGAAGGACGCCATATTTCAGAATTTGGTTGAAGGACGCCCTATTTCAGAATTTGATTGAAAAACGATCTATCTCAGAAAATTTTTAAGAACGTCCTATCTCAGAATTTGGTTCAAAAACGCCTTATCTCAACTTAAAATATATTTAAAATATGCATTATACATATAATGCGATAGTAAATTTTAAACACAAATATCAATATATTCGCGAAACCATAGGCCAAATATAGGAAAATTGCGTTGTTAGTTTTTCAATCTGACATCGGTAATTCAAAAATGATTTAAAAAATTCAGAGAAATGTGCTTAGAGAAGAAGTATGGGTATAAAATTAAAAAGGAAATCCTGTAGAAACAGAATCAAGTTTTTGGTGCAGAAGGACAGGTAAGTATTGAAAAAGTCCTTTTAAAATTTTATCCTTGAAATTTCGCAATATTTGTTTTTGAAAAATTATATGTTAAGGACTTATATAAACTCGATAACGTCCTGGAATTTCATCCTTCTAACTTTATCAGCTTAAAAAATTATCTATTCGTCCTTGTGAATCCAAAAAATTTTAATTTTTTTAAATTCTAAAGAAATTTCCTCTTGCATTGACCCATATTTTTATTCTACATTGCATTGAATTTTTTAAATAGTTTTTGGAATTAATCATATCTTTGAAATTACAAAGTCCTTTAAAATAAATCCAGACGTCAGACAGAAATAATAAAAACTCCACTTAAAATAAAAAAATAGGTTTCAAACCCATTTATTTATTGTTTATTTTATGTTAGGAGAGCTTCTCAAACAATATAGAATCAATTTTTTAGATTTAACCCTTTCGACCCGGATGGTACATATGTGTACCACTTAAAGTTTAAACATCTTTTCTGGAGGAAGCTCTGAAGAATTTGTACGAAGTGGAGTCTCTTACTCCAGCGATAACGAAGATTCAGCAGACGATAGAAGCTCTAAATAATTTGTACCAGCTGGTGTCTCTAGTTCAAGCGATAACAAAGATTTAGCACATGACACAGTGAATGAGGTGAATAAGGCTGCCGAGGGAGCACTTGTCTGTAATGAACCAGCTAGCAATGACTTTATTTCCAAACCTGTCGCGTCTAATATCAATGCAATTTCGAGCTCTGCTGTCGAGGATTTCGTACCTAAACAACTTTTTAGAATCCTCATAACCTGGTCTATTATTGACTATTTCCACGATCACTTTATATATGTATATAGCACAATATACAAATGAGCGTATTAAAATTTACGACAGCGAACCTAAAGCCAAGAAAATAAAAATAAGTGAATCCAATGCTGGTGAAATAAAAACAATTGCTGGATGTACGTTTGTTATATGCACAATCGACTTCCCTCTCTAAAGGATTATAAGTCCCTTGGTATGCAGTCATTGAAGGAAGCAATTGAGACATTGATTCTGGAAGGCTTACAAACCACAGCCGTTCGTCGATCAATGAAACCAGGCCGCGCGCCACAAACCATCAATCGCCAGGCAATACATATTCCAGTTGAAGGAAGTACCCGACGTCGTTGCACCAGCTGCAGCGCAAAAAAAACAAACCCGACACGCACTGAGACAATCTGTAAGGAGTGCCAGTCCCGCTTTGCAAAATGTGCTTTGCTCCATATCACAGGTAAATTTTATGTGAAACACATTTTTAATTATAACTGACCCCTTCTTCAATTATATTTACAAAAATTAATAAAATATGAAGTACTATTTGTTATATTTATATCACAGTGCCTGTTATTTCTAACTGGTATAGTTTGTTTTACTGGGCGATTGGTACTCATTTGTACCACATAACATCCCGGATGGTACAATGGTGTACCACCACCCCCCGAGCTAACCTTTCACTGTTTCTCAGATTTTAATTCAGCGATAATTTATATATTACTTAAATAACCGATTCCAATCAAAAATTTTATTTTAGCATTGCTATTCGAAAGCCGGGTCGAAAGGGTTAAGACGTTGAAAAGTATTGAATATCTAAATCACGGGACTAATCCCGGGATCTCGGGATTGTGATAACGACATCCCGAAAGTCCCGGGATCGGAAAACGCTCAAAAATTAGAATCCCTAGTGTACATGGACAGACGGACGGACGGACAGACATGTCTTAATCGATATCTCTTTTAGTTCTGAGCATTTATGTCTATATCTATCTCAAATCTTT